TGGGCAGACAGACTTGAGATAAAACTGTCTTTGTTTGGGTTTCAAGTGAGAGAGACGGTTCAACAGCTACCAGGGCACGTGACACACTTGAAAGAAACCGAAATCTTCATCACTGTCTTACAGAAACATTACTGGACCCCACAGATATTACACAGCTAAAAAAATAAAACATCACACAGGAAATCTTTGCAAACAAATACTGTCTGCCATCATGTAATGTTTTACTTGGCAAAGTGCACCTTCTTATTATTTAATATATTATAATTAATTCATATGGTAGTGTATACGTGGTAAAACAAGTAATTATATATAGTTATCTGTCAGACATGAAATCATCCCAGGGGGGCTTTCCTTATGCACCAACTAATCAGTCTGATGTAGCTGCACACAAGAATGAAAAGGATGCTGTCTATGATTAATTAGTGTATTCCAAAACTGAGAATAACTTACTGAAATTCCAGCTCATGACCTTTACCCCACCTTCAGCACCAAATCAGGTTAGGAATTAGGGCTTAAATTATATTTTTAATACATTTTACTTTTCTAATATAGCAACTCTTCCCAGCATTTTTCAAATTATGATTTTCAAGAACTTAGAAAAACTTGCAACTGTTCTGTTAATGTTTTTGCTTTCCTTTTTTTAAATTAAAAAGGTCAATAAGAAGAAGGAGATACTATTTATATAAGGAAACTACAAATATATTTTTGAATCTCAGATTCGGGAAGACAAGAATAAATGGCAATATCCCAACTCATGCAGCCTCTCAGCTAATGTCAGTTATGTCACAAACAGCAGTTTGAGTATGTCAAGCACTAGTTTGAGTATCACCTAATGAAAAATGGAATTTCAGGTAAACAAGAACAAAATTAAGGTGCTTTATTCTTCTGCTTGATGATCAAAGTTTTAGGCGATTTCTATGAAAAATATCTCCTTGAGTTCTAATTTAAAAAACAAAACGCATATGCTTTTATTGCTTGAGCAAAATGATTGTTTTCAGTAAAATAGAAAACTTTTCTTACAACATACTCTGAGTACATAAGAATTTAAAAGAGTTAATGCGAGGCTCCCTTGATACGGTTAGTTTCAATTTGTTTTCATCCTAATAACATCACTGCCAGACCTGCCCATGGGCGGATGACAGAATGAGTCTGAACATCCTTCCTGTAGCAGGAGCTAAAACCAAACAACACCGGATCACATCCTGCGATGTGTACATGTACGAGCTATTCCATGTTGTGGACACAGGGCTCCCTGCAGCCCAGGAGCACAAGATTCAGCACCGTGCTTCACGTACTGCTGCTACTTGCACACTGAGAGCAGGAAAATGCTTCGTTATACTCCTGAGTAAGAGCCAAGACAAACAAGGACTTGGCCCACCCTCTATAATCCACACTGGTGCATTAAGACAGCCCAATAATTCATCATATTTAGATTTCTCAGTTACATAATGATGGAAATAAGTGGACAATTACTGCATTTACTCAGAGGAAAAATCAGCATTTTTCTGTTTAGCTGCTTTTTAATAGAGGTTTTGGAATAACAAAAATAATATAACAAAAATTTTGGAATAACAAAAATAATGCCCTTCTGGAATGAAAGCTTTTCTTTCTACTTGATTAATTTCTTAACCCAAATTAACAAAATAATCATTTAAGCGCTGACAGAGACGGAAACCTTAATTTTGTCGTTACATGCAATACTATTGCCACATCCCACTTACAAAGTAGACTTTATGTAAAAAGAGGGAAGCCCAACTAATCCTCCCAGCTGTAAAATCCTGACAATACTGCAGAGCGCACATGTACAGAGGACTCACATCCCGAGGAAGGGGAGTACTCTGAAGATCGCAATGCTAGAGAGCAGCCAAGTATTCTTTCATATAGACTTGCAGGACTTAATATAATACATTTAAACATTCTGGGGTTTATCTTCATTTCAAATGATTCTGACTTATTTATGCTCTTCTCAATGTTACAGTTCCCTAAAGAGAAAAAACGTTGTTGATTACTGTTGGCCAATGTAACGCAGAATGTATCCTTCTCATTATTTCTTTTTATATTCTAAAAGATTAATTCCTTCCATTGAAGTCTGTAAAAAACAGACTCATTCTGAAAATTTACTTCATTTTTCTAATTGGGTTAGCCTACAGCTAAAGCCAATGGGAAGCAGTAAGATTAACAACAGATGCTACATATTAGGTGAAGGATGAAATGCAGTGCTTTGCCTACTGGTATATCTACCCAAACTTGTGAACAAATGCATTTCCATTAGCTAATCTTTCCAGGCAGAAGGAAAACACAAACATCGAACTAAGGGAATCCTGATGAAGCCCAGCCAAGCGACACTTCTAACCCACTATGGACATTTACTTTTGAAAGAGAAGAATCATGCCCTGAAACTCCCTTATTTCCTTCATGCAACTGAGGAGATCGCTGTTGTCTCCTCACAGTGAATTACTGAGGGCTTCGGTTCCCTGGAGCAGCTGGATGTGACTTCAGGTTCTCACACTAAAGAAGATGGAGCATAAAGTTCCCAGGGCTCCAGGGCCAGCAAGGTCAATCACTTGTTGGACAGCCATTATCAATCCATCAGTAACTAAATAAGGGAAGTGAATGACTGGTGTGTGTATTTGGTTTTGCCAAAAATAAGTCTTCATCAAGAGCAACTCAAATTATTGTGAAAGGAAATTCACTGTCAAATTTATGAATTCTCAGGAGTTTCCCCCAGTCTCCTTTGCTCTTGTGTGCATACTGAGGTTTTGGTTTGTTGCTGATTTTTATTTTAAACAAACAGGAATAAAAGAATAAAAACAAGAGAAAGTTAGGAGAGAATTCGGTAACAAAGTTGGTATCTCTGGCCAGGCAGAGTGCTGAAATAATGGTAGGAAAATGTGAAAGGGTAGAAAGAGTATGCACAAACATAGATACATGTATACATGTACATATATACACATAAAAATAAATAAAGCCATTCTGTTAAGTTGATCAACAAAAATAAATCGACATTTCTTATATTAACAGTTTTAATTCTATAAAATTAAATTAATCTCTTGAGTATGACTAATAAAGTCATCTTTATATTTCCTCTTGGTTGTATTCTTTCTTCCCACCTCAAGAATTCCTTATCATATGAATTTCTGTAATAAAGACCACATTTTACAGACCCTCTTATACACTGTAGCAGTGACAGACCTTTGCCAGACTTTGTCTTTTTACACTGGAAAGTCTGAGGGACTTCTACAAGATTCACAGTTCTTTGTATAATGAGCCTGGACAGCATGATACAGAAGGAGGAACTAATGAGGAGCAACAGAAAAAATAGCATAGTAGCATTCAGTGGAAATTTAAGACAAAGACACATATCTGGCGATGTGCCAGAGTCTTTTAACGTTAATTAGTTTGATGTGTTTTTAGAAAATCTGGTAGGAAATTCATAGTTGTTGAAATTGCTGCACACCCCCCAAATAATGCAGATTGGTTCAAGGCCTCCTTTGGCAGGGCCCCATCTCCAGGTTTGCTCACATGGTCTTCCTAGCAGGGATTATTTCCCTGACTCCAGTGCTAGTAAGTGCTTCTCAATCAGGCCCTGTGCCCCTACACATTAAGAGATACAGCAATATCACAGCGATCATCTCTTTAAGTAAATAGTATATTCCAACTATTCACTTCTGCAAGTTTTCTGAACGTACTTAGGCAGATTAGTAAGTGCCAACAAAAAAAAAAAAAAAGAAAAAGAAAAAATTGTGAGGTTATATATTCATACAAAAGCACTCAGCCTAAGAAACCTTCCCCCAAAACCATATTGATTGAGGTACTGAACAACCAGGCCAACTCACTCACTGCATGGATGCATCGATCTCACATATGACACTACTGTGCCCTCATCTAAAACATCTCATCACAGGATGATCAAGCAGCTCTCTATCTTTTTGCTTATTAAATGCCTGGTAAGTTCCACACATAGCAACAGGCTCTAATTCATTTGAGTGATGGGAAGATCTCTAAGAGTATGACTTGTTTGCCCCCTTTGCAGTCAGCAGAGGAACAACAGAGCTATGAGAAAACATTCTCAAGGAGGCTGATTTCACTCTAATTCCATTGCTTTAGCGAGCTTTTCAACAGGGAAATGCCTGATGAGTTGCCAAAAATGCAGGTCCAGGCCTAAACCTTCATCTCCAAAGACTATGTGATAAAGAGAGGCTGATGCTGCAACATATAATAAGATGTACAGCAAGTCCCTGTGTCACATGTCCACTTGGATACAACAAGGGGCAAGGGATTCGCCTTGCATGGGTTTTAGTTCTACTCCTGACAACAGCTTTCCACCAAAAAGCTTATAATAAACATTAAACAGAGATGTATGTGAAGTTGAATTAGTCGTACACTCCATTCTGGAAAACAATCCCGAATTCTCCCACGCAAGCTTCCACATAAGCGTTCCCATTGAAGTTATTGCAGCTACTCATTCAAATGAGCTGTAGGCATCATTTTTTTGCAGAATTTAGCCAAAGGAACCATTTTAAAAGGCCTTGACTCACGCCATATAATTGTGCATCTCCAGAGAATAATCTAGTTATTAGATGGATCCACAGGGTACTTAGACACAGCTCACAGATGCTCAGTGTTCAATTTAGCAGGCTAAATCCGAACGGAACTGCATATTAGTAAAAGGCCACGCTGCTGCCAACACTTAGGCTATACTGTGAGAACAGCTCGATATCGCACTAGTTGTGCCATTTGTCTGCACAACCCCATGAAAAGGCGGCAAGATTTTCCTGTGAAGGTATGCTTCTAATTCACACACTCAGCCATACAACTAGGAGCTTCAACACCGATCATATTAAAGGAAAAAAAAGCAAAACTTAATTGGATAGATAATTATTTTAGCTGATTACTATGCTGCCCAGTTAATTCACATCATTCAATGCATGCATCACTTTGACACCTCGCCAAGGAGCGCGTTCTTCCCCCAGGAGGCCACGCGGTGCCCAAGGCGCTACCTTCGCAGTAGGCATTGTCCTCTCGAAGGGCTCGGAAGCCATCGCGGCAGCTGCAGACAGCCCTGTCATCCAGGTTGCGGCACACGGAGTGCTCCATGCAGTTGTGTCCTTCAGTACAGAAGTCATGGCCTGCCCAGAAACAAATATGATTGAGGGTTAAAAAGAATCTAAGCATTATAAGTCCCTGTCAAAGACAGCCCTATCTTTTTTCACTTAGGTTAAAGAATACCTATCTATTGTGCATGAGATATTGAAAAATAAATTGTACCGAGCAAGCAGCAGATGAAAGTAGTAGTAAAGGCGACATGAACAGACTGTCTCAAGATCTTCAATTCAATTTCAGGTTATGCCATTGATCTGAAGGCAGCCAGATAGGTGGCTTGCTTAAATCCCCTTCCTGTCTCCTTGCCATTGTTGAGTACTTTTTCAGGGCATTTCTTAATTATATATTTTTTTTCAATTTCTTTTCTATGGTTGGACTTTTTATAAATAGAGCTCAATAGCTTAGATACTCAGGAGCGCATTTATGAATGGGATTACCTTCTTTTTCCTACCACTTTTTGTTCTCCGGTGTATTTGTAAAATCCTTCCACACTTCACTGAAAGTCTTCAGTTAACATTTTGCTTTTCTTTTTTCTCCTCTTTTTCCTTCAAGCTCCGGAGATTGAATACTCTCCCTGATTGCCTTCTCCTTTCCACTTCACAGAAATTTACTTTTAAAACTTGACCTTTTAGCCATAACTTCCTTGCGTTCACCTCTCGCCAGTCCGTCCCCGACCCTGACCCCTGCCAGTGGGATTGTTTTCCATTGCACCTTAATTACAAATTTTTGAGATTCTGAACTACTTTTTCCAGATTAGAATTTTTAAGTGAGTTTTTCAGCAGAGTAAATTTTTTAAATTCCTTAATTCCCAGTTTCTTATGAAATCTTATGCTGCTACATTGATGAATACCTCAAAATCCTCCTTCATTAGGTGAATTCAAGGTGGTTACAGTAAACCATTTAATAATGTGTGAAGCTACTCTCCTTCACTGTTTCTCAGTGACTTTAAAGTTTTCTTCTTTAACTGAGATGTAGGAACTGGTAAATCAGCAATCTTTCAGTGTTCCTTTCCAGTAAGTACTTTGATGACTAAAAAGTCTTGTAGAGGAATTGAGGAATGTGGACTCAAACATTTGAATATTGCAATTTGCCATAACTATATAACTATTGCAGAATTATGAGTGTACATATTATGCAAGCAATGGTGTGGGTTTTAAGATTCTTTACACTCACCTATCATCCATATTAATCAACAAAATACACATTGCTGAATAGTGTACAACAGCTTTTTGATTAAAGACTAAAACTCATGAGACACTCATGAGATTCAAAACTAGCATGGTTCAGAATGCACGAATCTCACATACAATAAAACTTTCAAGCTACACCGGGCAGAACAAACATGGAATTCTTTTCTTTAAGATACTAAAAAGTTTATAGAAAAATTTCCACCAAGAAAATCCCTTTTGATAGATTGTGATAGATTTCAGGACCTATTGATTTTTGAGTTCTTTTCTTCCATTTTGCTCTTATCTCTTTGCTTGATGTCATTAATCTTTGTGTTTCCACTCAGTAGCACCAAAACCAGTATAGCTGCACACTTCACTGAAGTGTATCTAAAGCCAGCCCAAGAACTTGATGTCTTATTTCATGTCAGGTATCAATTTATCATGATTTAACTACAGGAGAAACAGATGTAGCCTCTTAAAGGTGCAATTGCTCATAGCTTTGAAGGTAATGCTATTAGTCCAGATCCGGAGAGCAGGCTCAAGACACAGAGCATTTTCTGAAGCTCTCCTTCTTGGTAAGGATATGTTGGGGTATAGCAGGACTACATAGCACACAAAAATACTCCCCAAATCTTCCACCTCTAGGTACAAGGTAGAACCACAAACAAGTAACAATAGCCATTTACAGCACTCTATGAACAGCTGCACAGCACAAAATGTTTTCAGAAAGGGGTATCGAAGACACTAGGGAACACTGACGTTTCTCCAGTCTCAATTTGTTTGGCCACTGGAAAGGAGGAAGGGTATCAAATCAATAATTATATATCAAGGTTCTTTGGATTTCCACCCATGTTTGCCTAGAGTGAAAAACACAAATGCCAACAAACATCTTACACAGAATTTACACTATTTGACATTTTATAAACAAATTTCAGATGTCATGATACAGACAGTGTGTACTCAGTATACACCGTCTATGGTGATTATAATGTTTATGGACATCCTATTCCAAGTGTTCAGAAAAAAAAAGTCCATATGACCTTTAAGAACTGAAAATTACACTAAGTTTTTGTGGATCCTGCTGTTATCTTACCTTTACAAATTTTGCAGCAACTGTGAGATAAGGGGATCTGTTGTGATTCCGCGCAGTTCAAAATTGGACAAATGTCTTTTGGAATACGCTGCATTTTGTGGCCCTGTTAAATTGAGGTAATTCATTAATACTCTCAGAGAATAAAAGTTGAATGACACTTTAACTTTATGTGGATTTTAGCTTTACAGTTTACAAACAAAAAGTTGTCTCTGCCAAAGTCCAGGTGCCTTTGAAAGCTGTTTGAAAGGAAAACTCAGCACAATAAAATCATCACGTATTTCCCCATATTTAAACACCAAGTTTACACACAAATCTGCAGCATTTTGGTTCCTTAGGGCTAAAGATGATACATGACAAGTACCATAACCAACACTGAAATTACAGCTCAGACTTTACCTTAGACAAACTTCAAACAGAACCCAGCCCAACCCTAACCTGGACACATAGAAAAACAAATTAGTCATCGATGTGTGTTTCTACACCAGAACACACAAAACCCAGCCAAAGACAACAAACCCTTCAATAGAAATTGTATCATTTAGAGCATTCTTTTATAGTATTTAAACAGAAGCATACACCGCTATATGGGATGCAACTGCAGCAGTCAAACAAGAAAAAAGAAAAGCAATGTTTTGGATTACACATACCTGAAAGAAAAAAAAAAGAATGCTCTGTGCTGCTTTGCTAACATCCCCAGTAGCCTTTAAGTTTCAAATCCATACTTCTGCCATTCCCATCAAGTCTCTCTGGAGCAGAGTTATTAATTACATCTTTTATGGAGACTGTGGGGGTAGTGACACACTGCCCACATACAGGTTCCTAACTGACCCACACAGTTCACAGTACACAGACTTTCTCCTTTGAAACATCATTCATAAGGTTGCTCGTTAGAAACTGTATGTATTTCAGTTCTTGAAAAGTAGAATTTGAATCAGCCCAAATTACCACGTATTTCTACCACTACAATCAGGCAGCCCACCAGCAAACCCAAAGCAATCCAAAAACTACACACTAACACAGTCAAAGGCTTGTGTTCATTCAATATCATACAAGCCAGCAGCAAGAAACACAAGGCAATACCATACAACTTTTGATGATTCTTAATTATATCTATATCTACATATAGATATATTTTCCATTATCACAGCATTTCTGTCCCAAGTGTCATCCTGAAAATGTACAACTGAAGCAACATTGTTTCCAAAATTATTTCAGATCTGCTTCTTACCTCCTTTTTCAAATGGATTTCAAAGTACCTACTCAGAGAATTAAGCTCAAAAAGATTAAAAAACAACAGCAGGAAGACAATGGTCACCAGCTCTAATTTGTAAAATACATTTTTTCAAAGATGTGTAAATACACTTTGTAAATCTCCAGAAAGAAATGGCCTGGTAGGTAACTCTGACCCACTTCCTCCCCCAGGACCAGATGGGAAAGGCACAGTGTGTTATTCTACAGATTGGAAAAGGTATTTTAGGAAGCCTGAAAGAGGAGTCCTGCTTCTGAAGTCAAGGCAAAATCTGACACAGCTTTCTGGCCTTCACAGTCAGAAAGGCCTTTAGTCCAGTTATCCTTGGTGTGACAGTCTGGATTTCCTACGGCAGTTACACTCCTCTGGGTGCTCCGCAGCCACAGAACACTTGCGGGATTTGCATCACAGCCCCCGTGCCCTAGAAACACACACTTGTTGGGCCCACAGCAGGCACGCAGCTCCATGGGGCACCATGGGCCCTGGGAGGCAGAGCTTGTGGCACCGCTCTGTGTCATTCCCGGCCTGCTCCTTCAACTGCCTTTGTGCCCTGAGGAGCAGCGCTGCTAACAGCAGCGTGAGGCTGCCTCGGCATCAGCACGCTCTGTTCCTAAATCAGTGACTCCACTCCATTTCCAACACCAGAAACATCCTCAGACACCTGCTATGCCAGCCCTTTTTCTTCCTTTTCATATATCACTGCCACTAACAATTATTCCAAATTATGCTCCCATTACATTTGTGCATCCCTTGTAACTGAGCACAGAATTTTGAACAGCACTGCACATGTGCAAAGGGAAAGGTGATGCGGGCTGGATGCTCTTCATTACTGATGACAGTCACAATATATAAGGAGGACAGAATACAGCTCAACTGTCACATTGCATAATCAAGGCTGGCATATATGAAAATAAACTTATTTGCAAAACTTGCTGTGGAACTTGCAAGACAAAATAAACACAAGAGTCTCAAGTGCCTTTGCTGCCGCCACTTCCCAAGGCACACTTCCCTGCATTTCAACAGCTTCATTCACTGAGACTTTGATATTTCTAGCATGCAATAAGAAGATTTTCCAGCCACAGTGTTCTTACCTTGCACTCAAACAGAACGCAGTCCCCTGAGTTTGAATACACAGTTTCTCTTTGTCCTTCAAAGTAGGTTCTGCCTTCAAATATGCACACCGCTTCAGGAGAAAATAAAAAAATATCACAATGATTTTGTCAGAAAGTGTTGGTACTCTGTTCAAAAAACTTATAAAAAGATCAATTCAGCTGCGCGAATATTCTGAACCCACTTGCAGGTGCCTGGATATCACAAGAAAAATATTCAGAGAAGAAATAAAAGATGAAAGAACTACAAAAGCACACATAAATAAAAGGTGAAGGATGGTGCAGCCGTATGGAGTACTGATTGCTACTGAGAGGACAGAACAGATATGTCTCAGGTCACGACTAGGAAGATAGAACTGCCAGCCTGGAAAGGATGAAGCACAGAAACAGGCTTGGACTAGAAGAGGTTTTCGGAAGCCTGTATGAAAAGCTCAGAGGTAAGGAGAAAAACAGAGAAGTGAGAGCAGTGTGAGCGACAGATTAATGAAGAACCAGTTTCTCGATGACGAATGCATAAGTACATTAAAACTTTTGAATTTTATTGTGCAGAACTGATCTCCACAACTTTTTTTTCCCTCTCCAGCAGCAGTAGGATCAGACATGCAGTGTTCTTGTGACAGAAGAGCTTAACAAGGCCTGAAGTTACCCTGCCACTTCACCACACACCAGTCCTATATCCTGGCAGGACCAGGTGTAACAGCCAAAAGCTCATACTGCAGTGCTCCCTATCCTCGAGTTCTGTAACTAGAGTTCCCAGAAAAGTTCCAACTGTAGTTCCCACTATAACTATACTTCCCATTTGGGATCAAAGGGTTACACAACATACTTTCACAGCAAATGTTTTTCCTAAATGGATCTGTTACTGTAATTACATCATGCAAAATATAAAGACAGAGACACATAAATGCTAGGTTTGCAAAATGCGACATCTCTCTCAGTTGCCTAGGACGTAGTCCAGGTTCAACAAGTAAGAATAATCATGAACTAGTAAAAGTAGGTTACCATCTTAAAGTTCTAGATTATGTGTTATAGGGCTAATTTGTTAATTTTGATTTGCAGATGTAAACCAATTGTACTACAATTTATTCACATACATTTTTATCTATTCTGTTTAAACAGACTAAAATTTGTAGACATTTTTAAAATATCTGCATGGTTTTACTGCATGAACTATACTAATTACCATTATTGCTGTAACCTTTAGTTCTCCTTTATGTTTTTCCAACTGCAGTGCTTTAATTTTTCAACTTTCTCATTGCCAACTAGTGAAAAGCCAACTCTTGGAATAAATGTTGAAAAGGAAATGAATAGAGACAAAAAGATGTCTTGTATAATATAAACCTGCACAACACTTTCAAGGAGTAATACCACAGTGAGCCAAAACACCCCAAATCTCATGAATGGCAGTATGGAAGCAAAGTATGAACCAGAAGAGAGAGTTCTATGGCTAACCAAAGCAGAAAATCTGTATAACATCCACAAAGACTAGTAAACAAGAGTGAAAAGACCTCAGTCCAGTGCCCCTTTCCTCTCTCAGGAAAAAAAGATGGACACTCCTACATCAGAAGCATGTTAAAAAAAGTCTATATAAACTTTTAGGAGAGAGTAGGAGATCCTGAAACCAAAAAGGACAAGGCTATCATCCAAGTATGTTGGGATGGAACTAGGAAGACCAAAGCCCATTTAAAGTTGAATCTGTCAATGGAGGTCAGAAATCCCAGGTTCTGGAGAAGAACTGGAGCATCTGGCTGAGAGACCTGGGACGACTCAACCCAGAGAAGACAAGACTGAGGGGAGATCTTATCAATGTGTATAAATATCTAAAGGGAGGCTGTGAAGAGCGTGGGGCCAGATTCTTTTCAGTGGTGTCCAGTAATAGGACAAGATGAGAGAGGCACAAACTGAAACACAGGAAGTTTTCTCATGAGGAAAATGAGGAAATATGAGGAAAAGCTTCTGGACCAAAACCCATCTGGGCACAATACTGGGCAAAGTGCTCTAGGTGTCCCTGCTTGAGCAGGGGTTGGCTGGACTAGATGATTTCCAGAGGTCCTTGCCAACCTCAACCATTCCGTAATTCTGTGATCATCCAGTCACCTATTTTGCAGGCCAGTACACTGAACTGGAATACTCAAATATTAAGCCCTCAGACAAAAGCATTTCAAGTTTAAACAACTTAACAGGAAAAAAAAGGTATAGCAATGCCTGAGGACAACACAGTGGCAAGGGACTGATAATGCAACACTCCTTCACATGTTTCCAGCAGGCAAACTCTGCCTGTTCATAGGAAAGGCAAAAGACAGGAAGGCTGCTGTCATTCTGCCCTGGAATAAAACCCTCCCTGAAGCCAAAATACTCTTGGCATGTGAATAAGGCTATAAGACTACCCAGCGGTCTAAAAAAAAAACAAAGTACCTCTACTACCTCAGAGTCCATTGAATCCAGTCTCAGCAAACTTTTAATTCTTCAGAGAAACTCAGGAAAAAAAATATCAATAGAAGAATACATCGAGCCTACTATGAAATCAGGAAGGAAATTTCTTGACCCTATCAACAGCCCTCTGAAGCCCTGAATTTGAAATTATTGTAATGCAGTGCTGCATTATCATAAGCACATGCCAAAAGCAGGAACGTCAACTCACTTCCATTAGGCCTTGAAAAAAGATGCACAGAGAGACTCCCAAATTCTAGGGCTGGGAGGGATTGCTCTGACCATACAGGACAGGCCACTCTCCCGTGTCTCTTCATACACTCGATGGAGATCATTTCTCAAAGCCAGAGACATTGTGGGAGAGTATATATATTTCACGAGCCAAGTTTGCTCGAAACACAAATTATGTCTGCACATGCAGAATCATCACAACACTGCAGCTAGGAAATTATATCCAATTAATTTAATTTCCCTAAATACTATTAGATTTTGCTACCACTTTGTCATCAAGGTTATAAAGCCTCCAAATATCAGGGTTCTGCCTATACAGTGATCAGATAAACCAGAGGGACCTATATCCTAGTCCATGTTGAAATGAATGTTTCTCCTGCCTCCTGCCAGCAGCTGTCACAGCCAGTAGATATCCGATGACCATGATGCTTCATGTCTTCATTTTCCTTCAAAAATAAAGATATTTCAGCAACAAGAACATCTGGACTAGAATTTTGTAATTAGAAAGCCCACTGAAGATTTAATTTCTGCCTAGCTAGATGCTTCCCAGGATTTCATGATTAGTTTGTGATTGGTATCTCTCTGGGGAAACATAGCATGTTTCATCCTTTGATTCCACAGAGTGAGTCACACTCAAGAAATTACCTGATGATTCATTGTTCCAGGATTTGACAGCTATTGCCGATGTAGCATTTCATCTACAGCTGAATTACATCAACCATTTCCTCTTGCCAAACTTCCACATCCCCCCAATGCCTAAAACACCGTACATTGTCCAAAGGACAATTTTATAAGAAGATGAGAAAGGGAGTCCATGAAACCTGTACAGGCAGGGGGTCCAACTAATGTTGGTCTATTTGTATACAGAAAATTATCAAATGTTACATAATAGGTATCAATACAGTGCTTTAATAATTATTAGTATGGTATGTCTGTATCTCTCCTGCTAATTTACACAGGTGCTGTGATAATACAAATATTCCTTGTAGTATCATTTAACATGCTCTAAGCATATGGCATTTTCCAAGTTCATCTGGCCAAAGGAATCTTTCAGGAGTCCACTTGTATTTGCTCAGTAAGTTACCAATAATTTGACCATTGCTTCTCTTTTACAACCTTTTTTTTCCACTTTTTCTTTCAACTGGCACTTCCCATTTCTTAAGCTGTCTGTACAAAATCCATGATGCAGCTAGCTCTTCCCTTCTGTTCACCAAGTTTACAGGAAGTCACTTAGTACATTTTCTCACTTCCATATTTATCACCTTTGCTATCTAGATTGCTTACGCATTCCTCAATTGCACATATGCTTTCCTGTGATGTCTAAGCTAATTTTGCTACAGGCTTATCACCAAGTTAAAGCAGGAAGTTTAGAACATTGATGAACTCCTCAAACTACTCTAGTTTCTTGCATTCATAGCTGCTCAGTGAATCACAGAAGTAACTTGAAGTTTTGTGAAATTTGTGAGCAATTATGCATACATACTTTAAATCTTGTAATTCTTTCTATGTTGCTGCATCTTTGGCCACGTACACTGGCTCATCAAAAACATAACTAATAAAAAAATCTCATCTAGTTCTTTTAATTTTCCAGTCTCCTCCTTGGAATCTCCTTTGATTATATTTGCCACTGTTCAGGATGGAGGCTTAGGAATTACACAAGTCCCACTAATCCAATTTTGTACTTACATAGTACAAAAGCTCTGTGTGTGTTTATCCTTGGAAATACCTGTGTGTGTTTATCCTTGGAAATACATGCCGAGATAATGCTCACCGTTCATGAATTTCCCTCCCTTACCTGCCTTGCCACTATTAGGTATGCTCTCATTCCTCTCATTTAACTTTCCAGGGATTCAGGCAGTATTTCTTTGTTCTTTTCCTGACCAGCACAAGCTCCTCTTTTCATCCAGTTTGAGAGATCTGAGACTTGTTTCATTTCAAGCCATCTCCCTCAACAATTCAGAATTATTCCAGATTTCAAGCTGGAAAATTGTTTGAAAACTTTAGGATCATCCCTAATCATCTCAATGATTAGGAATCGGTTGTCATTTGTCTCTTATTTCAGCTGGAAATACCGAACACCTGTATTACTTTGAAAACTCCATGTGGTTGCTCTAGAGCACTCTTAAGTGTGTGGACACACTAATGGGCTGCTTAGTCCCATTGCCAAGGAGTCAATCTAAAATAATAAATTCTTCTCTATTTCTTATATCTCCATCACCTGTTATAGGGAAATGATATAATTCATCCTGTCCATCCATTCTTGCGAGGCAGTCTCTTGGAGAATTCATCTGAGCCCTATAAGGAGGATTCTTCAAGGTACCTTAAAGGCCAAAAAAGCAATCTGAACAAGGAGGAAGCCCATGAAAACGCCAACCAGGCTGGAAACTTGATTGGAGCCACTTCAGCTAAGGCAAATTGACCCGCGATGAAATAGAACTTTTAAAGTAGGCTGCCGGACAGAGGGTTTGGGCAGCAGTTTGCAGCTGATCAAAGCTAATGGGCATCCTACGGCACTGAGCATGTAGCTGCCTCTAATGAAGTCCATATCCAAGACACCACTATTGAAAGATCAATGGAAAAAAAATACATATGGGAATCATTCTGGAATGGCACAAGAGAAGCCAACGAAAACTACAACTTGTTCATATTTCAATTAGTGTGTACAATTCTCTGCAGATTTTATACTATACACTAGCTCTGACATTTAACCACTACAGACTACATAACCAAGTATCCAATCTGCAGCAGATGAAACAGGAGACTGCTAACAGTTTTTTATATTCACAAGTAATCCCCTGCTGAAATAGAGACAGCACTTTAAATGTAAACTGCAAATAAGAAAGACCCAAACATTTCCCACCTGGAAAATTCGCAGACAAATCAGAGCTGTGTACATTTTTGTGCTTGGCTTTCCACACTGTTGTGACAACAGAAATCCAAAATTTTCTTTTATAGGGATTTAATGTTGTAATCCAGGGCAGACAAAGGATTCTACCTTTTCCTTCACATGCATGTGATGGTGCTAATCATGTCATATGTATGAAGTAGGAGAAATACTTTGAAAAGAAGAAGCCATATCCATGACAAATGCTGTTTCAGTAATAAAGATGATGATTTGCTTACTACAGAAAATCTATTTGATAATATATTTACAATATATTTATATATTTACAATATATTATATTTACAGGCTGCCCAGAGAGACTGGAGTCTCCATCCTGGAGTCATCCAATCCAGATACTGAAAAGTCACCTGGACACAATCCTGTGCCACGTGCTGTAGGTGACCTTGAGCAGAGGGGTTGGACTAGATGATCTGCAGAGGTTCCTTCCAGCCTCAGCCACTTGAACTTGTAGGATCAAAATACTTAGGGAAGTCTCTTATAATCACACAGTAGAGCCGCATGTCCTGAGAGGCTGACTAGAGCATCCTCGTATTTGCTGACTTTACTTTTGCTTTCCTTTTTGCTCTGTTCAGCACAGCATATAATGCTATTAACATGCAGGCTAATATATTTAGGACAAAAATACATATTCTGCCTGCATTCATAGAAAAAGTAACAATATCTCCTTTAGATACTTTACTGCATTTGTACACAGGGAATCTGAACAATGTATTTGGTGTTAAATTCTCTTAAAAACTTTATTATATGTTAACATTTCATAGCAACTCAGCTAAACACATCAGCCAATAACACTGACACCTACAGATATGCAAAACTTTGGCTTTAGAGTAATGGACCATATTCTGCTTGCTAAACAGAACTAGGATATTTTGGACTCCATATAGAGGATTTTGAAATCGTAGGCATGACTAATACAATCAAAACGGCCACCCACTTGTCAAATTAATTCTGTTGGCTGTTCAGTACTCAAACAACATTCCCAGCAAAATATCAAACAATAAGAGCAAATGCTGAGACAAAAATGCAAGAGGGTGTCAAGAGGAAAAAAAAATGCAATTAAGGTTAACATTCTTTTATATGGCTCTTGTATTAATAGTTCAATTACAAGACTATAAACAGCACAACAGTCTGCAAGGCCTACGGAAGTCACATGACACTACACGCCTGTTTCATTTGACAGCATTAAAAAAGTTACACAATGAGAGCAGCTACTCAGTTTACCCAAAAAGAGCAATCGAGTAAGAAGAACTTCAAAGCCCAGCACGTTGTGCCCTTCCCAGGAGGAGCGGATGAGTACGTGAACGGAGCCACGTCTACAGCTGCTGCTAGACCATAGCTCTGCCAAAGCACCTGCACTTGTGCAGCTGGCTCTGCCAAGGAGCAGGGCCCAATTTTACACTCCCGTCTCCTCCTCTCCCCATTTTGATTTCTTTATGATGACCCTGCCCACCCTCCCTTCCTCCTGCTGAGACCCATCATCTTCCTCACTTGAGCTGAAGCGACAGGATTAGTTGGGCATAATCCAACACCCCTGCAACTCCTCTGAATGCACCAGAGCCAAGTCCTCAGCAGTACTTTAGCAATAGGTTTTTAAAACAGACAGCAAGATAAACACATTCTTGGAAATCTTGATTAAAATCAGTTATGCAAATTGGCTTTTCAAATTTGATATATACTCACTCTTAACATTCATTATCAAGTAGTATTTAATCAAAATGAAACTAATGAAAAAAGTAAGTGCTACCAGAAGAGTCAGAAATTAAAAGAAAAAAAAATAATAAAAACCTATGCATGACTGACATGATGCCCCTTTTCCTCAAGGCTACCAAAAGTTACAAGCTGCTATTATCTATTGTGCATTCCTAAACAATATGGTCAGTTCAGGATTTGAAATATTTAAAAATGTAAAAGTAGCTGGACTAGATGCTCACACTCTTCTTTGCCACAGCTAAACTTTCCAGAATCAAGCTGATCCACTCTCACCCATTTACAGGAAAACTGACCCATTTACAGAAAAACAAAAAGCTGAAGTTCATAATTTTTTTTTTCTGTCTGTGAAATAAACCACTGAGGGAGAGCCTTAGAGTCACTGTTTCTGCAAAAAATAAGCAATATCTGCATTCACATT